CAGGGGTCCACAAATACTAAACATTTTTATATGTACAGGGGTCCACAAATACTAAACATTTTTTTATGTACAGGGGTCCACAAATTTTTATATGTACAGGGGTCCACAAAATGTTAAGGAATACAGTGGCTAATTTTAAGCCAATACTGTAAGCGTGTCCAGAGATGAAAAATATGTATATATATATTTGAAAAGGACAAGGGCACATTTTAGAGAGGTAACATGTTACCTCTCTAAAATTTAATTTATACTGTACTGTACTCTTCTTTACTCTGCAGTACTGCACTGTACTGCACTCTACTTTACTCTGCAGTACTGCACTGTGCTGTACTCTACTTTACTCTGCAGTACGTACTGCCCTGCACTGTACTCTACTTTACTCTACAGTACTGCACTGTACTGTACTCTTCTTTACTGTGCAGTACTGCCCTAAACTATATTTAATCTTTTCGAAAAAGTTACCAAATCCGCCATTTTTGGGACAACTATTGTGCCCGGAAACGTTGGTAAACTGACCCCTGGAACCCCCCGTGGTAGATAATATTACATGTATAGATTACCATTTAGAGCCAGGCACAAACCACTTTATCTAATAGAGCCTGAATATAACGGAGTATATATATATAGATTTAATATTAGACTGTGGATCCATCCATCTGCAAAGTCAAAGCTAAATGTGTAAGTAATCAATTCAGGCATATTTTGCTTATCAATATTTCAGCAAGAAGGGGTCCAATAAAAGCAAATGGAACAACAAAATAAATTATAACGGTAGTTTTTTAAAATACTTTCAAATTAACTTTGTATTAAAAAAGTAGCTATAAAACTGTATGTAAACATTATCAGCTTAGCATATTCGAAGAAGAGAGAAAATCGATGGAAGTGATATAATAAGTTACTTGTAAAATTATTTGTTTTGTAACAATATTAAATACACTTAGATATTGATTTAATTTCGTCTTCCTATTCCACAGTTTTCTGGTTCACACTGTATCATTTATACCCGAAAATTAAAATAATTGTAGATTTTGGCAGTAGAGAATATGATCTTAAATGAAAACAATGAAAAACCAACTTGTTGTTAAGGTGAACCAGCTCCTGTCCCTCTTCTTCATCGTGATGGTGCAGGTCGTCATCAACAGCGAGTGGTTCATCATCAATATGCCCCTCACCACCACTTCTACCCTGGGATACCCACACTGTGCTGTCCCAAAGGAAACAAATTCAAAATTTGGAAATTGTCCCTTTTTTGTCAAAATTAAATTAGATTTACCAAGAATTTAAAGAGGAAAATGATTAATTATTGCGTGATTTTGTAATAATTGCTTTTATTTGAGATTGGGGAATATTAAATAAAAATTATAATGTTTCATGCGAAATTTTTCAATTTTTTCTAAAACTTTGGATGTTTTATGACAGGAGACCTTCCTGCTCCTTCATATATATCCTGCACTTCTCCTCATTCTCGTCTTCCTCTATTCTATCTCCGTCTTTAGGATAAAGAGGAATTATAACGAGGGAAGATGGGTGCTCTGCGCCACCTCTCTAATCATCCCAATCTTCCTAGCCTGGGGTCTAGTGTACTACTATGCCGGCCAGGAGTATGAAGATGCTGCTGTATCTGTTGCTCTGGTTCTCATAGGACTGGTTATCCTAGCCACAGTGTTCCTTCCTAAAATGCACACCATTGTTCAACAGAGCAAGTTCAGAAAGCTGAAGCTAAAAACTGGTTCTGAGAGTACAATGTACACAACGTACAGTGACTACCCCGGAATGTTCTATCCAATGCCGGGATACGCCCCGCCGTACACGGTGAACCCAAACAAGTACATAATAAACCCACCTGTGTACTCATACCGTTTCAACGGTCTGAACTACCTGACCCACCCGACTACAGCAGCGGCGGCAAGCTGGGTCGACTGGTCACGTGATCACTCTCCCGGTCTTTACCATTCTTCTCAGCTAAGTCAGCATCCCCATCACATGAGACGTACAACAAACAAAAGTTCTAACAGAAAATCAAAATCTCCAGTCCTGGCGGCCACCTTACAGAAACACATGAAGAGGTCGCCCAAACAGTGTATTTCTAAGTCAAGTAAATTATCAGGAAAATCCTACAAAGATGGACTACTATTGTGCACAAATGGACTTGAGAGTCCATATTATGATGATAACGCGAGAGTGTATCATGTTACACCTTAAACAATGTTTTGTATAAATGTGTTTAAAATTAAGTGGATCGGAGTGCTGAAAATGTGATTTCATGCCAGCTTTGGTAGTCCCAAAATTATGTAGGAATTGAATATTTTTTATATAAAAAAATATAACCTTTTTTCAGGACACATTTAGGCTTTATGTCTCTTCTTACAATTCTATCAACTATTCTAATTTTGTATCAGTGGTCCTCAGAATTAACTGAAAAAAGAAGACAAACTCCAGTAATTTATAAAAATAGATAATTCAGCCTTTTCTTTGTGCCACAGAGTTTTAATAACTAAGGAGAGGAAACTATTGATTGTATGAGGTCGGCTCTAAAACTAGTTTTATCATAAAGAAGCATGTGCCTGGCCAGGCAACCATGCGAGACTTGTTTACAATCTTTGTTATTGTTTACAATTTTTGTTGCTTTTGCATTTCTTATTATTATGTCACAGCAAAATTTAAACATTAAACAACCTTCTCACCAGTTCCTCTCTTATTTAGTGTCTGGTACAATTCTTCGTTGACTATTTTTCACATTGTTTTGTGGACCACTGTCAGTCTATAGTTAATCCCCAATTGAGCCATACATCGAAAGAATTTATCAAACGTCCACTTGACAATTTTTCAATGGGGTTTATACTATTTTACGTAAATTTCAGTATTTGCGAAAATAAATAAATAGTCATGAATTTGCAGGAACAGTTTTAAAGAGCTCCATATAATCATTTAATTAAAAACTAAATATCTGCAACATTCCATTATCAAAAAGTGAAGAATACGACATTTGATGAACTCTTATATGTATGGCTTTTTTAGGGTTTAACTGTACAAAGTCATTTTGTTAAGTTTTAAAGGAGTATTTTTAATGAACTAAAGGAATATTCACTCTGCTAACGTTTATATAATTAAAGAAATGAATGTACAGAGAGTCTCAATATAAATGAGTCTCGTGCTGATGATTTATGATGCTTTAAAAGTACGATTTACTCATTGAAACAAATTTCTATTTTTCTTGATGATATATTTATTTAATTAATTAATCACGTTTCATGTATATTGTAGAACTGAGACCATGTAATTGTTTGAAATGTATAAATTGTATATTTGAAAAGTATTTAACTATGTTTATATCTTAACCTTACCCCATTTAATTACAAGCTTGGTTCTTCCTTCCTTATTCATGTTTTTAGAGTACAGGGTGACGTAGGATTTGTGTTCTCTAGTCAAGTACAGGATGTCTTAGAATTTGTGTTATTTTTGTCATGTACTCTGGAGTACAGTGTATCTTTAAAATGATGTACTCTTTGTGATGTATTCAGGAGTACAGAGTGATCGTATTGTAACTCGTAAGGAGTACAGGGTGTCAAAGGATATGCCTTAAGTGATGTACTAAGGCGAATACAGGTTGCCGTAGAAATCATGTTCTCACAGTCATTTACTCAGAATTACATGGTGTCGTAGAATTTATGTTCTTTAAATAATGTAAAGAAGTCAGGAGTGTAGAAGTTCTGCTTTATTTGTAATTGTGAGTTTTCGTGTTCTAGTTGACATTTTTTATCTTTGTCAATTAATTAGAAAAGTACAGGGACGTTGTCAGAACAAAAAAAAACTTAAAGAAATATTTATTATTTTACAGTGGCGAAGTCTAAAAATTATTTGTTTTGTAACAATATTAAATACACNTTACTAATTTTACTGAAAGCATCACAAATCTACATCCGTTGCTACTACGAGTTACGACCGTCATAAAAATTGCGTAATTTTAATTATATTTTCTTTAAATTATCTTTTAATTATGGTTGAACTTTAGTATTAACAATCCACTTTAAATATTTATAGCTTTTTAATGAAATCATTTCTATTATGCGTTAAAGTCTTTATATTTCATATTTTTTATTCACCTATTATTATACGTAAACCAACTTATATTTGTGTATTTGTATAATGTTAAAAATTCTCTATTATAAATATAATCTAAAAGTAATTTACTTTTTTCAATATTGAAATCACATCATAAAAAATGCCTTTATCTCACGTTATGATTTAATTCTTTTGCTTTCATTCCTATTGTTTTACTTTTACACGTAAATAAAATTGTGTGGTTTTAGGAGTGCACACAGCCAGTTTTAGTTTATAGAAAACAAAGTTAGAACTCCAAATTCTCGCTTATAAACATGTTTTATAAAAACTGTGTGACAACCAAATTATAAAGCAAGAATATTATTATAATTTAGAAGAAAAATACTGCTCAAAGTCAATTCATGATCGAAATATGTTCATTTTAGTTGGAGATGGTTGATTGTAACATTATGCGAAGCTATTTAAAAGTGTAGAAAATAATATATCTTCAATGATTGGTACGCATTAGTTTTAGATAAGTATCATTACTTTTATGAGAATCATTACAAGGGGGGGGGGGCCAGAACCCGTTACCCCCCCCCCTGGAAAATTTCCCGTATTTTTTCTGTAAAAAAATAACAAAGGAGTCTTTGATATGATTCCAATTGCTTTGCAAGAAAAATACAAAAGATCGAAATTAGAAAATGCACGAAATCCCTGGCAAAATAGGACACTAGGTACACTGCACACATCAGGTTTATGACATATAAAGATGATGATGCAATAGTGCTTTGTTAGGCATCCTTGCCAGCCCTTTTTATTTAACCCCGTGGGAAACTTACACTGTACAAATTCAAATCGGCGATAAAACAGCGCACTCTACGTTTACTTTCAAACTAATACAAAGCATACATTTTACGTATATTTTTGTTTGGGGGGGGGGGAGGGAGGGGGGTTATTGAAATTTTAGTTACTGTACTGATTCTTTATGTTTTAATATTTAACAGCGATTACATGGCCGGTCAAAATGAAAAATGTTGCCTTTTTAGAATGTATTTAGAACAGATATGGTTGCGCATAAAGTTACATTTATCAGCTTAAAAAAAAAAAAAGGTGCAAAGCAACCCGAAATCTTAGGTATAATAGGTTGTCAAGTACTTGACAATCTATTTGATACAAAGGACATTTAAAAACTGATTTTTCAAAATTATTTAACATTTTCACATCTAAATGTGATTTGAAAATGTGAATTAAAAATAAACCAGGAGCAGTCGACATATTCTATAAATACATTACTTTTTACAATTCAGTATATTTTAAGTCATGGCAAGAAGTATACTTTATAAAAGTTTATAACAAATAAATTTTAAAAAAAAATTAACAATTTAGTTTTATATCAGCGAATAAATATAAAATCAAAATAAATCTTAATTCTGATCCAAGATGTTATCAATATATGTATACATGTCTGTAATATCTGGGTTTTTTTTATATGTCTGATCAACTCTGGAACCCCTTAACCGATTTATCCTCAAATTTTGACTGAGGAACTCGGTAGAACCACGGGAATGTTCTTAGATTGGTTTAAAAGGTTTAAGTTGAAGAGGTTGCTGGGTTCCCAAGCTAAAGTAGTAATCTCTGTTTGTTTGTTTGTTTGTTTGTCCAATCACAAATCGTGCACCCATTGACCGATTTGCCTCAAATTCTTATAATAAACTCGTTGAACCACGGGAATGTCCTTAGCTTGGTTTTAATAATCTAAGTTGACGAGGTTCTAGACAATGCAAGTCTGGGATCCCAAGCTAATAAAATACTAAACGTTAAACACAAACAAAAAACGTTTAAAACGTTTTCTGTAAAGCACAAACAACGTTCCACTTATACCAATTAGTCAAATTATCAAACACTTATACCAATTAGTCAAATTATCAAACAGTGAACAAGGAAACAAATATTGTACAGCGGAATTCTAAATATAACATTCATGTTTTTGATTATAGTATTGTATCCATCTACAACTACACTTATACTGTCAACTACATATAAATATAGATTAAATGAGGAACCGTCCCCCAGCCCTCCAGGTTATACTTAGAAGGAACGAGAAGGAAGGAGAAGGAAGGAGAAGAAAGGAGAAGAAAGGGGAAGGAAGGTGAAGGAAGGAGAAAGGAAGGTAAAGGAAGGAGAAAGGAAGTAGAAGGAATGGAAAGAAAGGAGAAGGAAGTAGAAGGAAGGAGAAGGAAGGTGAAGGAAGGAGAAAGAAGGAGAAGGAAGGAGAAGGAAGGAGAAGGAATGAGAATGAAGGAGAAGGCAGGAGAAGGAGTAGGAGGTTAGAAAAGATGAGATAAGGCTAAAAGGTGAAAAATAACCTCCTACAACTATATTGACGTGTAAAGTTTAGTAAATGTATGGAATCTAAAGATCTCAATACGTAAAGGGTATAAAGTATAAAATACCCCTGGTTTCGTGTCAAGGATTTCTAAATGGAAAAAATGACAACATATACTTTACTTAATACACGCTAATACGGATCCTTCCTGCATTTATTCAGATTAAACCACAGGGGCATATTTTTATCACAAGATTTGTATTCTCCCGGCATTATCAAAAATATTTTCCCGTCATTTCTAAAAGTGTTTTCGCAAATTTTCATTTGAATATATTTAAATTGTGAAGAATTAACCCCTGCATTTTGAAGGACAAGGGAAATTTGGTTTGAGCAAGTAAGTAGTATCAGTAATTCCGCTCAATTTTTTCAAATTAGTATATTTTTTAATATCTTTAGACAGGATTACGAAACATTGATCAGCAGTTAGATTGCAATAGAATCAAACTATCCATATAATAACTAAACGTTTACGCACACATAGTTTTACGCAAGCATAGTTTATGACAAACATAGTTTTACGCAAACAGTCAAAAGACAACGTGTAATTCCTCCTATCAAACCCCTGAAATTTAAGTTAAACCCTAAAAGACGCCCTCCACCCCTAATTCAACCCCATTTAGGAGACATTACCGCTACGACTGTGTGACCTCGTAGCTCCTACAGTTTATACGCAGAAGTATTATAAAAGAAGATGTATACATTCAGCATAGTTAAAATTAAACTAAAAATGTTCCTATCAATTGCTCTTGATAATAGAAAAGATTTAAATCTTACGAGTCTGCGAAGTAACAAAGACTATAAAATGAGCTTTTTTGAATACATAAATTTTAGATCTATAGCTTAATAGTAAAAAGTTATGGGGAAAACAACTCTTTAAAGCGTTAAATTAGAAGTACTAGAGTATGCATGAAAAA